ATATTGCTGCAACGGAAGCTGGTAAGGAAATGTTGTGGTTAAAGTGATTTTTCCAAGAACTGGGTATTAAGCAGAAAGAATACAAGGTGCATTGTGATAGTCAAAGTACTATGGACTTAAGCAAGAACTCAACGTACCATTCCCCGATGAAGCATACTAATATTCGTTATCATTGGATACGCGAGGTGATGGAGCAACAGTTATTGAAACTAGTGAAGATCCACACAAAGGAGAATCCAACAAACATGTTGACAAATGTTGTGACTCGGCAGAAGCTTGAACTATGCGGAGACATAGCTCGAATGAATGTCTGATTATATTCCCTTCTAATGGTTCTTGAGGGAGAGATTTGAAGGTTCTAGCTCCATTAGAAGGCTACCCCAGTAGCCCATTCTAGTAGCCACCTCCATGGACGACCTAACGTCTGGACGGCTGAAATTTTGACAAAGTTTGTCGGTGCATTAAATGGGTTCCCTCCTTTTTTGACTTTTTGGCTAGAAACTCCCTATAAATAGGGAGCTTAGTTAATGTTAGAAGTATGCTCAAGAATCAATGAGGAAGAAATAAAGAGATAGAGATTCGGGAGATATCTCATTTGTGAGAATTTTGTATAAATTCTTGTATTTTATTTACAGTGAGAAATAAAGATTCCTCTTCTATTTATACATTGTTTATGGTGTATTTTTGGCCCTGAGTAACCAAAGGATGAGAGATAAAACAAATTTTTTTCCTTAAAACTAATGTATGTAAAGTACATGACATGTAAAAGAAAATGAAGACTAAAAAAGATTTATAACTTGATGCATATCTACGGACGATTGGGAGTGTTATGGGACGTTTTGGTATTTTATTTAACAACTAGTCATAATCGTGCTTAAAGGCACGATAAAATATAAAATTTGAACACCCAAAAAATCGATCTCACTATATTAAATTTTATCAACATATGTATATTATCGTATATGAATAATGTTTAAAATAAAAATTTTATTAACTAAAAATTAATTAAATATTAAATGATTAAACGTACGATAGAAATAAGTGATGTGATATTTTTAGGGAAAAAATATATAAATGATTAAACATTTGATAGAAATGAGTGATGTGATATTTTTAGAGGAGAAAGTATATAGGGCATAAAAATGTAAATTACTATGTATTTTATTATATAGATATTACTTCATAAAATTCCAAAGACCAAGAAAATATCTGATGAGTTGAGTAAGAATAATGGAGATATATAAAATTGTATAAATTCTCAAGATAATAAACTACTGAGCCATAAAATTAAACTTTTGAGGAACAATGATTGAGCAACAATTAATGAAGCAATAATATATCAAGTCAATTTGGATTTATTCTTAGGAAATTAGTAATGGAAGTTGTATACTTATTCCGAGACCAATGAAAAGATACAAAGAGAAAAAATAAAGATCTTCCTTTAGTTTTACAGGTTTAGAAAAAGCATATGGTAAAGGATGGATTTTAGAGGGGAAAAGAATAAGTATATTAATAATAGGGATTGTACACACGTGATACCAAAGTGCGGATAGAAAGAATGAGAAAGTTAATCGTAGGACTCATCAAATAATAGAATTTGGTGTTGATTTTATGATTCTATTGAAGTCATTTTAAATGGATGAACGAATCTGATATATAGTGCAGTCATCCTATACCTCTCATGTCAGAAGGAACGTTCTATGGTTCTTTAATAAGTAGAATTACTAAACAGAGAATTCATGTAAATCAATTAAAAAATAGTGGGACAAGACTATGTTGGGTTTAGTTGAATTTAATTGTGTAAATGAGAGATAGTTGGGTTGTTGGCTCCATCTAGACGCGCAGGCGAAACTTGGCCTCGATCAGGTTACGCAATTTTTAGACTGATTTTTTACCTTATATAAACCCTTGGGGAGCTGTTTTAGGGTATCTTTACACACTTTCAACCCCAAGGACCCTAGGAGAATCTTAAAGAGAAAGAAGAGGAAGATAGAATGTAGATCAGAGCAAAGATCATTGATATCCGTGTGTAGTGAACAACGTAGGGCATCCTAGGATCAATTTTTGCAGAATCAAGGTAGGGTTTTTTTTTTCTTTTTTATGCATTGAACCTAGGGCTATTATGTATATAATTTTTGACTCGAATCTGCATATATACTATAGATCTACAAACATTTTGGATTTCTTTCAAAAGTATGATTCTTTTTCGTGTAAAAAATATCTAATTTACATTTGATGCATTTTTGGTTCGTAAATCCTAGATCTTGAATAATGTCTAATTTATATTGTGGGAAATGATGTTTATGGTATATGTGATCTATTTGAAAAACATGATTAAATCTCTTGCATTGATTGGCTTGATGAACTTAAATGAACTCGAACATATATTGCAGAATGTTTATGTATATATATTTTTTTACATCAACGGGTTTAAAGGTATTTTTATCACTCATAGTGGGATTCATTCCTTGCGGGGTGCCAAATCACTATCCGTTCACATGGGTTCGAGGCTGAAAGTTAGTATATTATTTGTGGAAGATTTCATTAAAAACTAATGCGTTCTTGAAGCAATGTGGCCTTGCGGGGATTGATTGAATGTTTTTATGCTTGTGGGGGAATGATCTAGATATATTTTGTGTATGAATTATTGCTAGTCAACCTACATGCATGGAATAATTCTGTTATAATTTTTTTATTATCTACATGATCATTATATGATGAATTTTTGTACATGGATAAAAACTTGAGATCATTAACAATATCGCTTATTTTATTTTAAAAGTTATATATTTTATTTTAGAAATTGAGACCTACTCTTTGTTTATGGTTGAAAAAGTTTCTCTACTGAGCTCGTTGTACTCACCCATTTCTTTAACATTTTTCAAATTTGGGGATTGAGACCAATACAAGATTAGATGAGAATGTTGTTTGGGATTTTGAAGTGGATCAGGATGAGAATCCAGAATTCAAGGCTTGAGGATCTGTTTATTGATTTAGTTAATATGATTTCTCTTGAAGATGGAATAATGTTTATGAATTTTAATGATCTAGTTAGAGGAGAAATATTTATTTGTGTTTGAGGTTTCAGATATAAATGTTGATTAGGGATTTACGATTTTCGGGTTTTGCTTAGTTATATGATGTGGATATTATTATTTTTATTTGTTGAAAGATATTATTCAGAAGTCTCTAACTATTTTAAAGGTTTTTAGTTGGATCTAAAAAATGTGGTGTGACACTTGCGAGGGGAGGTTTAGGGAGGGTAGGTTGGGCTGCATCTAGTAGTTTAATTTCAAAAGTTAACATCCGTTAAGCACATTGAAGTTTACTTTGAACTAAAAAATGGGAACAATGATCTTAGTCATAGAAGAAGAAAAAGAAAAAAGTGGTAGTAGTATCGGAGGATCCTCCTATTTTGTAAGAGTTGTAGATGATATGCTACATGGGTAAGTGTCAACTAAGCTCCGATCTACGTAATGTAGTTCTTCCCCTATTTGTTAAGTTGATGTACAATTTGACATACTATAAGAGTTGAATCTTTTTACAAATAAAATTAAGTTTCTCTTTGTGTCCATTATGTTGTCAAAACTTCCATTTTAATTTACATGCTTTGAAGTTCTAATAAATTCACATACACAAGCAAACACTCAAACACAAGGATATAAATAAACACACACACACACACACACATATATATAAAATGCCCCACTTTGACATATAATTTAAGGGAAAATTACACTTTGATCCCCTCAATTATCATCTTTTTTATTTTGAGAAATTTGAAGTTTGGTCCCTCTATGTGGACTTATTTGAACTTATACCAAGAAAACTTATTTGTTATAAAGTCCGTTTTTTCTAAATTTGACCAAACTATCAATTTCCTTTAAAAGTGAAGTAAAACTAAAAATTAAAAACTCTTAAATTTTAAGAGTTTAACTAACATTAAAATTTTTTTTCTCTCATATCTATCTATATCCATATAGATGGTTAAGACTACATCTCTCATATATATTGATAATGCACAAATTGGTCTCGTGTAAGATCAACAGTCGAGTACATGAAGAGGCCTAATTCATAAACAATAAATAAGAAAGTCAATGGCAAAATAGTAAATATGAGCAAACACACAGATATATAGTGGTTCGATTCGAGTGACCTACTCCACTCTCGAAAAACAGCAGCGGTGGCCAGAGGTCTTTATTAATGAATAAAGTAACCAGCAGAGTATACTCCAGGAAATTACAATGTTTAGGAGAGAGAAATTTGGTGTGTAAGAAAGTGTAGAGAGATAAAGCTCACGGTGTAGTGTGTTGGGAGAGATGTTGTAAAGATGTGTAGAGGTGCCTCTCCATGTGGAGAGAGTTTACATTATATAAGTTTGGTGAGGCGGTGATATGAGGGAGAGAGCACTACTCTTTTCGTACGTCCAATTAAGGTAGGATTTGATTCCCATGAATGCATATTCTGATATTCTGTCTCTCTCTCCCATGTGCTCATATCTTCCCATTCTCCTTGGATCTTGGACTAGGTTGGATCGGTAAAGTGGGCTTGAGATGCCTTTTAGCTAACTTGGGCTTACTTGATTCATTGGGTCTGGCCCAGTTGATTTTGAACTCATCATTTGCCCCCTATGCCCCAAGCCTCCGACTATTTGCGAGAGGAGGGGGTTGGGGGCATGAGCTTCTTTTGTACTTGAGTGAGCAGGAAATTTCTTGTTCTCCACGGCGCCTTTCCATCTTTAGGGACTTGGTTGAATCTACTAACACTAGGAGTTTTGCATTTTTTGGCATTCCTTCTGCTAGGTCTTCACCTAACAATTGAGCTCTTTAGTTTCTCCCACCTCATTTCTTCCTCCATTTCCTTTGAGGCTTGTATTAGAAGCCATCCTTCAAGGCTTCTCTAAGAAGCTTTCTTCTCCTATTTTAAGGCTTCCCCAAGAAGCCACCCTTTCTTAAACCCATTTCTCTACCCAAGTCTTCTCTATTCCAATTCAAAACAAGATAATGGAGACTAGGAGCTCGAACAGTTGTGGATGGGACTTCAATGGCAATCCAGCGAGGAAAAAGGCAATTGGAGGAGAGAAGCAAGAAGGAGCTCGTGGCTTTGGCCTCATAGGCAGCGCCTATAGGGCTAGTGGCGATGCCAATGGCATTGGCATAGTAGGCAGTGCCCATGGCGCTGGGCTCACAATAAGAGGCGACAGGGCTTTGATGCAAAGAGAAGGGGGAGACGGGGCTGGTCCTGGCAAACTGCTAGGCGAGAGAGAGGCCATGGGCAGCACCACGGACGGTGCCAGCTGTGTCGTGGGTGACACCCGAGGGGGCTGTCATGGTGCAGATGGCGCCCTGGGTCGATTGGCGCCTTTGGCCGTTCTGGCATTGGGTCTATGGGATCACAATGCCCCTTTGGCCGTTTGGGGCTGACAGTGCTGTGGAGAGTGGGTGAGATGGAGAGATGGGAGAAACAGGAGGGCACTCCCCCATGGGCAGAGCCAACACAGTGCTCGGGGCCATGGACGATGCCAACCCCTCATTGGAAAAGGCCATGGGTGGTGCTTGCTCTCCCTTGGGCGGCGCCCTCTTAGCGGGGGTTCTTCATGTTGCATCAGGCATTAAAGGAGTCTTTGGGGGAGGTGCCAACATAGTAGGCGAGGTAGAAGGTCAGGCGGGTAGCGCCCTTGGCGCGGGGAGGCCAGGTGGGCAGTGCCCTTGGTACTGAGGTAGGCACTCCTAGTGTTGACGCTGGCATCCTTAGCGCTGGCGATGACTTGAGCCGTATGGGCAGTTCTAGGAGGCATGCAAGCAAGTTTAGTGGCATCTTGGGGAGCTTAGGTAGTGTGAGGAGGCGGTCAGTCAGTGACCTGAATAAAACTAGCCCTTGAGGTACATTATTTGGTACTCACATTTACTCTTTGCTGGTATAGGTATTTTCTAACACTGTCTTGATTTTGTTTTGGCAGGTGTTCATTTAGGTGAGCGGGAGACTACTCGAGACTTCGAGCAAGGCCTGGAGACTGATGGAGACAATGGCTCTAAGGTAGCCATTATACTTAGCTCCCTTGACTGTGATGAGGATATTGCAGCTATAGTTTTCTCATATTGCATCCCTCCTTTTGTGATGTGCTGTCGCGCTGAGGGCGACGAGCCAGCGTGTTGTGAATCCTCTGGCGAGATAATTCTTTACAAGGATATATTGGAGGCAGGCCTGAAGTTTCCAATACTTGGGCCTATATGTCAGGTTCTAGGGCACCTATTGCTAGTTCTTGGAAGATTGGCCCTGAACGGGTGGAGGGTGATACTAGCATTCTTTTCATTGTAGCGGTTAGTACTCAGTGTTGATATTCCTCCCTCGTTCGAGGAGTTCTTGGCCACGTATGTACTCTTGGAGAACCCCATTCCTCACCAGGGGTGGTACCATTTTGCCTAAGGTCAGGTAAATTCATTATTGGGATTGTTTCAAATCTTTATAGTTGGAAGACTAAGTTCTTCTTTGTTGGAGGTGAGTGGGCTACCGAGACTGATCGTCACTTGGCACCTTTGAGATGGGATACTGTCCCTAAGACCAAGCTGGGTAAGGAATCCACCTTTAACTTTTACTCTAGTCATCACATATTTGTTCTTACAGTGCAATTGGCTTCCTTGTAGCTTCCCCGACGCTATTTGTGGAGCAAGAGAACAGGCTGTAGATGGTACGTGACCATCCGTTTAAGGAGTTCTCAGAGATTATGTCGGCGTCTGGTCATCTCAAGGCTTCTCCCAAGCCGAAGAGGAAAGGTATTTGATCTTTCCGGTAGACTCTTTATAGGCATAATGTTGTGGACTTTATAATTTATACTGATTTTGCAGGTACCTCCGTTGACAGGCCGATGGTGGAGGAAGTCTATGTTTCCAGGGTGGCATCTTCCCCTCCTTCTTCAAAGAGGGCGAAGTTTCATGCCCGTACACTTCTCAATCGAGGCCCACTGGTTAGGCTAGTCCCCGAGAGATAGAGCTTGGTGATGCCCCTCATTCTCCTCTGATTGATGTCTCCTCATTCCCTAGAGATGGTCCCAGCACTATTGGGGGGGCTAAAGCTTCGACGCAGTCTTTTGCTAGGACAGAGGGTCTGCCTAGCTGTCCTGTTTCGGGCAGTGCTTCAGTATCTATGTTACAGGATATGAGGCTAGCTAAGAAGAGACTTTGGGGGTTTGTGACCCACACAGAGGTTGAGGAGGTTGTCTCTCGAGGCCATGAGGGTATTGTTGACACTACTGTGGAAGGATTTACTTTGGTATGTCTTGCACTCTTCTTTGGTTTCGTTCCTGGTTTTCTTCCTTTATATTTTAACTTTGGATACCTATAGGTGGCTGGCATTCTGCCCTGCTTGTTTTCGAGCACGTTGAAGGTCAGGGAGACGCTTGATGGCTGGGCAGCGGAGAGGCAGACACGCATGGCTGCTGAAGAACAGCTAGAGCTCGAACGGCAGACATGAGAGAATACGGCGAAGCAGTTGGGGCTCGAGCAACAAGCACGAGAGGATGCTGTAGAACAGTTGAGGCTAGCACACGAGAGAGTTGTCATCTTTGAGATCGAGCTTCAGGCGTCCCACAAGAAGGCCACCCAATTGAAGGCTGACCTTCGAGCAGCTCTTGTGAGAGCTACTAGGGTAGAGGCTCACTCCATAGAGATGGAAAAGAGGAGGAACGCTACTGAGAGGGTCATGGAAGGCACCTTTATTAAGGACTACGAGGAACTCAGGATGAAGGTCTCAGTAACATTCCCTGTTTATGAATTTTTTGGCTTTTTACCTTATGAGGCTCTAGGGACTGATGAGGAGGATGCAAGCTACAATGGGAGCGGAGGTAGTGAGTGTCGCTAAGAGCGTGGTGCTTTTGTATTTATGTTTTTGTTAATAGGTCAGGTTCTATTTTTTGTAAAAGTTTCATGAACTTCTATGAAATACAAATTTTTGGAAAAAATATTGCGAAATTTTATTTCATAATTCGAAGTAAATATTTAAAAGAAATTGATCAAAACAGAAATAGATAATCTAGATGGTGACCACTAACTCTTACACATCACTACCTTGCCACCAACTACTGGTAGTATTTCTTTAGATGTTCTGCGTTCCATGGATGAACCAGGACTTTTCCTTCAAAATTCTGAATTTTATGGGTGCCCGGTCTTACAACTTCTATGATAGTGTAGGGTCCTACCTAGTTGGGTCCTAATTTTTCTTGTTGGGAGTCTTTGGTAGATAGGTTGAAATTTTTTAGGACTAGGTCCCCGGGAAACAAAGGCTGAGACTTCACCATTGAGTTGTAGTATTTGGTCATATGACACTTATACTCTACATTCCTGAGCATGAATATCTTCCTTTCTTCTTCTACCAAGTCGAAGTTGATGCGAAAGCCTTCTTCATTATTGATAGGGTCATGGTGTTGGACCCTATGGAAATGCATCCCAATCTCGACAGGTAAAATCGCCTCTATCCCAAAGGTTAGGGAAAAAGAGGTCTCATTTGTGGGGCCTCGTGGTGTCATCCTATAGGCCCACAGTACTCTTGGGAGTTCGTCTACCCATCGTCCTTTTGCACTCTCTAGTCTGGCTTTCAAATTGTGGAGGACAGTCCTAACGGTAACCTATGCTTACCCATTTGCCTATGGATGGACGGAGCTGGAGTGGGGCTGCTTGATTTGTAGGTCTAAACAGAAGCTTTTGAGGAGTTTGTTGCCAAATTACTTGGCATTATCACTTACAATGGCATAAGGTATTCCAAAGCGGCAGACTAGACTCTTCCATATGAAGTTCTTTATCTTTTGATCTGTTATTCTGGCTATACTTTGGCTTCTGCCCACTTAATAAAATAGTCAATGACTACCACTACAAACTTGCATTAGCCTCAATTCACAGGGAGGGGACCTAGGATGTCGATCCCCCACATGGAGAAGGGCCATGGGCTCTAGATGGTGGTGAGCTCTTCTAGTGACTATCTGGGCACAGTCGCGATGCACTAGCATTTATCACATTTCATGACAAACTCGCGGGTGTCTCTGATCATAGTAGGACAATAATATCCCTGCCTGACTACTTTGTGGGTCAGTGTATGCTCTCCTGAGTGATTCCCATATATTACCTCATGGATCTTCATCATGGTGTAATTGGCTTCCTTGGGGGTGAGACAGTGAAGTAGTGGTAGGGAATAACTTTTCTTGTATAGGGTATCTTGTAGGATGACATACCTGGACACTCTCATTCTCAATCTTTTGGCTTCCATTGGATTTTCTGGGAAAGCACCCTCCTCTAGGTAAGCTTGGATGGGAGTCATCTAGTTGGACTCTGAGGATGTAAAGTTGACATTGTCCTCCTCTATTTTGAAAGTGCTAGGTCAAACTGGTGACCTGTTAGTGCCATGCCCATGAGTATATTGGTAGTCGCGAATATGGCGAGGGTGTTTGCCATGACATTCTCTTCTCAAGGCACATGGTGGATTTGGAAGTAGGAGAACTTTTTTAGTAGGGCTTGGACCACCAAGAGGTACTCTTGCATTCTTTCCTCATTTGCCTCAAAGTCTACCTTTTCCTGGTTGACTATGAGTTGGGAGTCACTATAAGCCGTTAGGCAGAAGGCCTTCATCTCCAACGCCAACTTCAAGCCTAATATGAGGGTCTCATATTCAGCTTGATTGTTTGATGCGACAAAGTAGAAGGAGATGACGTACTTCAACGGAGTGCCATGGGGGTTGATCAATACTAGTCCCGTGCCACTGCCCTCATTGGTGGAGGACCCATCCACGTAGAGTCTCCAACCTGGTATAGTGGGTGGTGGAGAGGGAGCTTCCTCCACGAGCGACGCTGTTTGTGATGAGGGGAGCTATGTTGGCATCGAAGAGGTAGGAGGTAGTGGTCTGCTGGGCAACATTTGGAGAGAGAGGAAAGTGGGATGCGATATAGGCAGAGAGAGCAGCGCCCTAGGCAGGGTGGGCAGCACTCTAGTCAAGGTGGGTGGCTCCCCGGTAGGGAGGGTGGCTCCCTAAGCTACCCACCCTGTGGAGCCATCTCCGAGTCAATCTTCTAGTCGTCGAGTCCTCTCAGGGTAGTGTTTGGACTAGTCTCCTAGTAGTGTGTATTGAGCAGGTGGGCACAGGGGCACCTGATACATCATCTCAGGACTCTTGTGGCGGTGTAGACTCTGCCACGAAATTCACAAGTGCATGTGCTTTGATGGATGACCTTGGCTGATATTGCACATCGAACTCGCTTAACTTGATGGCCCACTTGAGCAGTTGGCAAAACAAATCAGGATTTCCCAGAATTCTCTTAAGAAGTTGATTTGTAACAACTATGATGGTGTGGCTCTGAAAGTAGTGGTGTAGGCGTTTGGCAGCAGTGACAAGTGCAAGAGTCAATCTTTCTGAGTTCTGAGTACCTTACCTCTGCCCCTCGATACGCCCTACTTACATAATATACATGATTCTGGATGCTTCCATCCTCCCTAATGAGGACAGAGCTCACAACATAGGGTGAAGAGGAGAGGTAAAGGTACAGGGTCTCTCTTGGTATAACATGGGAGAGTAAAGATGGTGTGGCGAGGTAGGCCTTCAGCTTCTAGAAGGCCTCCTCTGCGTATGGACCCCACTAGAAAGATCTGCGGAGGATTTAAAGAAAGGCAGGCATTTATCTGCTAATTTAGAGACAAACCTGTTGAGGGCTTCTATCCTCCCATTAAGGCGTTGGACCTCCTTTGTTGAGGTTGGGAACTTTATCTCCAGGATGGTTCTGATCTTGTCTAGGTTGGCTTCAATGTCCCTCTTGTTGACTGTAATGCTTAAGAATTTTTTTGAATTGGCGCCAAAG